TTTTAAATGCCATATTCTGTAGGTCTTTGAAAGGTTTGAAGAATGCCTATCCATCTCAAATACATCTTGAAAACCTAACTACCTAACTTAACTCTTAAGTTTTGACTATCATAGGTAACTACCTATAATCTGTACTAATTTATAAATTTTTAAATGAGCTATATAAACACAATACCTAAACAAGAGGAGAAATATACATATCACATAATTGGACTTAAATTTGTATCAATAAATGAAAATCCATTCCAAAACAAAGTACTCATATCTATACCACAATCCCCTTTTCACCTTTAAAGAGATTGGTTGTAATCATTAACCATTTATAACAAACTCCATTTAAATGAAAATAAACATTTATAAACAATATTTGGGAATTTGGGCGTCATTCTTTCCAAATTGCTTCCTGCTGGTAGGGGGTGCTGTCATGGGCATCCTAAGAAGATACAGAAATCCTGGCTGTAGTGGTCTGCAAGGCTGCCTTGTCCCAATTGTTTTGAATGTTAGATCACCTGGAACACTATTACAGGGGATCTTGCTTGATCAAACCATGTTAGTCTGGAAGGAATCCACAGCTTTTCATTTTCTGTAGAAACAAAAATAGAAATCCTTTCCCCCAGTAACTTGTCCTTAGACTTAAATTTTGGAGTCAAAGCATTTTTAAAATATGTAAATTGAATTAATCCAGCAGCATTTCTTTTAACAGTTATTTCCTCAGCAGTCAAACAATACAATGACAATATAATACCATACAGTATCCAGATTCTCTCTGTGCTTTCCATCTTTATGTGGCTTTTTTATTACTCTATTTCTTCTACTTCTATTTTTTCATTTTTTGAGACAGAGTTTCTCTGTGTAACTTTTATCTACCCTAGAATTAACTCTGTATACCAGGTTTACTTTGAAATCAGAGAGTCTGCTTGCCTCTGTCTCCCGAGTGCTGGGATTAAAGGCATGTGCCGACACACCCAGCTACTCTCTGTCTTTTTAAAACCATTCTATTCTTTTTCTCTCCCAAGCCTATGTATATTTTAAAACACACTGTAAACCTTTAACAGTTTTCTTATTCTGATTCTGTCTTTACTATAAATCTTTATCTTTTTTCTGGCCACGAGTCTTTTATCAGGTAAACTACAACATTGCTAAAATGAAAGCCACAGCTGTATTAGCCAAGATCTATCCAAGATGGCTGCCGGTACTTTTACTGCCAGAACTGTGCTCACTGCCTTGGTCTATGCTGCCATCCAGCAGCATGCTGCCAGCTTGGAGATGTGGTCACTGCCATTGCCAGCTCTTGTACACACCATTCAGTTGCTAGCAGAGCTCTTTAAAAGCTGTGCGGGTTTTTTTTTTTTTTTTTTTTTTTTTTGCCGCTTATGCTGAGTCAGGAAATCTCTCTTAAAGGAGCCGTGCAAGTCTCTGTTTGTCTCTAGCAAAACAGAGTCCAACTGAGAAAAATGCTGTAACCAAGAAGCCTTGCTTGTCTCTGTCCTTTTGTTTCTAAAACCCTTTCTTAAGCTTTTGTTAAATTTTAAGTGGAAGTTCTTCAGTCCACGTTGGACTCCATTATGTTAGGATTAGTTTTTTCTGCCGGCCATGTCCCACTGCCACGCCAGCCCCAAATAACACGCAGAAATGCTGTATTAGATACAATGCTATTAGCCTGTTACTATCATTTCTTATTAGCTAGCACTGTCTTAAATATTAACCCATTTATATTAATCTAAGTACTTCCATGTGGTCTTATCTTACCAGAGAGAGGGGCTGGCATTCTGCTCTCTGTCCTCCATCTTGAATCTCCTCCCTACTACTTTCTCTCTCCTCCTAGTCTTCTAGTCCCACCTATCCTGCTTTCCTATTGTCCAACAGTGCTTTACTCATTAACCAATAAGAGAAATGTATTTACAGAATGACATCTCCCATCATTTAATGCTACTTTAATTTTGATAAATATCATTGTCAATGCAAGAGTAAGTTGTTTATGGAAGCAAAAAAGATCTTTTAAAAATATATTTGTGTTTGTATGTGTGTGTTTATGAACTCACATATGCGACAGTACACACGTGGAGGTCAGAGGACAACATGAAGGAGTCAGTTTTGTCTGTGTACCATGTGGGTTTCAGGGATGGAACTCAAACCAACAGGCTTGGCAGCAGGCCCCTTGACCCATTGAATCTTCTCACTGACACCCAGAAGATTATAAATCTCTGGTTTTCCTTTTGGAAGGACAGGGATTAGCAGAGGCAGAACATAAACCTTCAGCTTAACGGAAGAATGAAAACTGGTGACTTTAATTTTCAATTACAATTTACTGTACTTCTTCCTATTGAGTGGTCTGTATGTTTTGTGTATTATATTAATGCTTGTTACTCTTAGGATTCTAGTAGGTAAAAAGGAAAATGTAACCCTGGTGTTTGAAATGTTGAGGTACAGGTATCAATTACTGCAGCTGCCATCACAGGCCTTAGCTTAACAGACTTCTGACACTGGGTTTCTGTTACAGCTAGTCCTCCTCGGCTTGTCACTGTAGAGGAACTTCTAGAAACAGCGAAAGGAGTCACCAACATGGCTCTAGCACACGAAATTGTAGTGAACGGAGACTTCCGGATTAAAGCTGTTGAATTAGCAGAAGGCAGGTAGGTGTGTGAACTTGTTCACTGAGCATTTCCAGTTCTGGGAATGGCTTTTCGTCGATGCCAGTGTGTTCGAGTACAGCCTTCCTTTGTACATCAGTGCTAAAAATGTTCCTAGGTTAGGAGTGACCCTTGCGAACATGGGTCTGAAAGCCGCGATGCTTCAGGATACAAGTAAAGGATCTAGACTCTGTGGAAGTCTTTCATGCCTTCTTTTCCCTATTAGGATTCAGCCATTTCATTTTTTCCCAGTGCACTGTTCATTCATTTCCTTGTCACTATGTCATTGTACTGTAGTTGTTATCTAACTTGTATCCTTTGTCATGTTTTAAATTATGTAAAGACAAGGAAGCCAGGTGAGGTGGCACATGTGAGTAATTCCAAGGCTTGGGAAATAGAGTCAGGAGGATTAGTTCAAGGTCACCCTTGAACTATTTAGCAAATTAGAAGCCAGCCAGGGCTATATGAGTCCCTCTCTCAAAAACCAAAACCAAAGCAAGATAATAATAATAAAAGATAAAGGCTGGAGAGATGGCCCAGTAATTAAGAGTACTTACTGCTCTAGAAAGAAGACTTGAGTTCAATTCCACGCATCCATGCTGGGGTAATCTATCGCCTCTGGCCTCTGTGGGCACCTGTATCCACATATATGTATCATAGGAACTTGCTGAGGTCAGAGAAAATAAAATTAGCAACTCTGAATTTTTCCAGTCTTTAAGAAATTTAAAATTTTATGTATATGAATGGTTTTTCCTGCATTTATGTATGCACACCATATGCATGCCTGGTTCCCACAGAGGTCAGAAGAGGTGCTGGATCCTGGAACTGGAGTTATTTATGGATGGATGGTTGTGAGCCGCCGCTGTGTGGGAGCTGAGAAGGAAATCTACTTCTTTGGCAAGAGTGACAAATGCTCTTAGCTGCTGAGCCATCTCTCCAGCCTCTGATTATGTCTTCTCTGATTATGGCATTGTTATATGCTAGTCATTGGATTCATGTTGCCTACTAAGTGATGTGAGACCCATTCGTAAAGGGCAAAGTAGGTAGAGTGTGTTACATTATGTCTGGGACGTCTTTCCTTGGTTCCTATGGTTTTGAAGATTTATTACCCTATAGCCAGAGGATTTATGACTTTGAAAGTGATTTAAACTCATGTATGTATATATGTATGTATGTATGTATGTATGTATGTATGTATGTATATCTTATATAGTATTTGTTTATTTGTCTTTTTATTTTTCCTTGTCTTCAGCTTGGAGAAGAGAGTAAAGGAGATTGTACATAAAGCATTCTGGGACTGCTTGAGTGTTCAGCTAAGTGAAGACCCCCCAACATATGACCATGCCATCAAACTTGTAGGAGAGATCAAAGAGGTGAGACAGAATGAATTGTGCTTCGGGCGTGTTCATCCAGCCTATGTTACTATACCAGAAGACTCTAAAAGGATTGAGGGATACAGAATTAAGTTATTTGAAAGAATTTAGATTGAGTACTTTTGACTTAGTACCACTTCCCCTTTAAAAACTTTTTCATCCAAGCTGTGATAACCGGAAGGCTATTTCTTTGTACAACAAAGAAAAAAACATTCATATTACTTAGCGATAACAAAACTTATATTATGAAATTAGAGCATTTATGAATTTTTAATAGGAATGGACACATTCAATTTATGTAGGCCAAAAAGTAGTGGCACCTTGGGACAGAAAATGCTGTAGGTGGAGAGACTTTTTGTGAAATGGCTTTACTATTCATACTGAAGAATTGTTATCTGGGAGAATGGGAATCAGTGATTGGCTCACAGGCTTCCAAAGCAACTGTCCTTTCCTTTGCTTATCATTAATCATTTTAGCCATACAAGATAATACATACCCACGATCCCAGAACTTGGTATGCTGAGACAGAAGGGTCTCTAGCTTATAGCCAGACTGAACCACACAGCAAGACCCTTCCTCAAAAAACAAACACAAACCAACCAACCAACTCCCAGACTTTTCTTGCACCCAGGCAATTGCTAGAATGTGAATGAGGCTTAGACAGCTATGATACATGTTTTGTGTGCATGCTTGTCTGTAGATTTGTTAAGATGCTGAAAACGTGTGCAGCGTTGTGATTGCAGTTGGTCATCCTTTACTTTTGAATAGCCACAAGTTCTTTTATGAGTAATGAGGCTGACACCTGACTAGGAAACTGACTGAACATAGCTGTGCTCTCTTATAGACTCTGCTGTCTTTCCTGCTGCCTGGTCACACCAGACTAAAAGACCAGATAACTGAGGTCTTGGATCTGGAACTGATAAAACAGGAAGCAGAGAATGGGGCCCTAGACATTTCCAAACTGGCAGAATTCATTATTGGCATGATGGGGACATTGTGCGCACCTGCTCGAGATGAGGAAGTTAAAAAACTAAAGGACATTAAGGAAATAGTGCCTCTTTTCAGGTATGGAATGTGTCCCTCACAGTACATCTGCTTGAAAACCTATCTGAAGATTTATATTTCAAGTCTAGGGACTTGGTCATTTCAAAAATGTTTCTAAAACAAACATCTAAAACACAAAAATGTAGGAGTTCTGCCACTTACAGCCATAGTTTTTCCAGCACTCAGGGGCTAAGGTAGGATCTTGAGTTTAAATACAATTTGGGGCATATAGTAAGATACTGTCTTAGAATGAATGAATGAATGAGTAAAATAAACAAGGGAGACAGCAGTATTTCTTAGTTCCCACTGGTTGTGGTTGCAGTGTTTTGACTTTTAGAAAGAGAAATGGGGAGATCTGGTTTTGAAAGCACTGCAGGAGCATGTTGGGGTTACTGTAAGTTAGCAACTGCCCATGGGCAGCTTCTGGTGGCTTTTACTTCCCCATGGGTGGCCTTAAAGAACTGATAGGGGTGTTTCCTGTAGCAACAGCATGCCTCTCAGGACAAGTGGGCTGCTGTGGATTTGTGAGCTGGACAGATGATCAGAGGGAGAGCTCTAAATGCACCCTCTCCAGTCCAGGAGCCTTCAGTGGAAGGCTGTGCCTCTGGAGGGCCCCCCGGACCTGGGAGCACATCTGATCCGATCCCTCATCTACACATGAGCCTTGGGTTCTTCAGGACAGGATTTCTCCTTGTAGCCCTGGCTGCCCTAGAACTCATCCTACAGACCAGGCTGGCCTTGAATTCAGAGATCCAAGTGCTTCTGCCTCCTTAGCGCTGAGATTAAAGGAGTGTTCCACCATGCCCATCGAGCCTTGGCTTCTAACTACCTGTAGTAGTAACATCCTGTAAATGGGCACTTAGGTGTTCTTAGTCATAGTGGACAGGCAGGATAGAAGAAATTCTCAGAAGCAGATATAGAGTCTGTCCTTTGGGTACAGAGTGTGAAATAGCAATTATACAACTGAATTAGAACATCAAAAAAACAAACAAACAAACAAACAAACAAAACCCCAAAACCTCTTAAAACACAGAGAGAGATGGGAGAGAGGGATGAAGAAAAGAGAAAGTTAATTTTTGTTCTTTTGTTTTATTTGAATCAGGGTCTCTCTCTATTCTGGCTTTTCTGGAACTTGATCTGTAGACCAGGCTGGCCTCCAACTTTCCAGAGATCTTTCTGCCTCTGCCTTCAGAGTGCTGGATTAAAGGAGTGTGCTATCTCACCTGGCTCTTTTCATTCTTTGCTTAGAAAATGAATCAACCTATGTAAGCATGAAGGCTGAGGAGCTTCAGCTCTGGTCAAGATCCCTGTCCTTCCTCCGGTTGCCAGGAGGGCTGACCCAGAGCCAAGAACACACTCTGGGCTGGAAAGGCAGGGTCAAGTGTGAGGGTGAGGAAAAGAGGATTAAAAGCGCCTTAAAATATTGCAGCCCTTTTAATTTTTTTTTTTTTTAAGACAGGGTTTCTCTGTGTAACTATGATGGCTTTCCTAGAACTAGCTCTTGTAGACCAGGCTGGCCTTAAACTCAGAGATCTGCCTGTCTCTACCTCCAGAGTGCTGGGATTAAAAGGTGTGTACCACCACTGCCTGCCAAATTTTGCAGTCTTTCAAGTCATTAGTTGTTTGTTTTCCAAATTTGTTTTTACTTTTTAAAAAAGGTTGTATTTTCTTTTTAATTATATTTATGCCTGCCTAACTATCTGTAGGTTATGCATGTGAGTACAAATGCCTGAGGAGGCCAGAAAGCTACCCAGCATAGGTGCTGGGAACTGAACTGAGGTCTCTCCTCTCTGATGGTTCTAGCTTGTGTCAAGTTGACATAAAACTAGCCAGCACAACTGACCCCTTGTCAGCCCGACACAAACATTGCTTTTCTGTCAGAACCTTTTCTTTCTCATTTATCCTCGAGATGGCACAATAATGTTAACATTATAAAATAAAACATAAATGACTTTAAAGTCTCACAGTTTTTACAAATTTAAACATCTTGAAAGTTCAGTCTCATCACCCTGGCAGTGGTGGCGAATTCCTGTGATTCCCAGCACTCAGGAGGTGGAGGGAGGCGGAGCTCTGTGAGTTTGAGGCCAGCCTGGTCTACAGAGAGAGTGCCAGGACAGCCAGGACTTGTTTCACAGAAAAAAAAAAACTGTCTGGAAAAACCAAAAACCAAGGCAAAACAAAAAAAAAAAAAAAAACAAAAACCCCTCAAAGTCTCTCAACTTAAAAAACCAAAATTAAGTTAAATACTTTCTTAACTTCAAGAGGGAAGAACCAGACAGTCACAAACAGATCAAAGCAAATGGAATCATTCATTGTCCAGCATCAGGGACTGGTTCACGGTATTTTGGGCTCCTCCAAAGGGCCTGGGCCATTTCTCAGCCTCTGCCCTCTGCTGTTCTCTCAGCTTGTCTTCTAGGCTCAGGCTGGCTCCACTCCACCATGGCTGCTGCCATTCTTGGCGGTTGTTCCATGGCACTGCATCTCCAAAATGCTGGGGTCTTGTGCTGCAACTGGCCTGCACTGTCAACAATAGCCTCTTCATGGTGTAAAGCCTCAACTTCTCTGCATGACCCCTTCAGCCCTGGGCCTACAGCTGCTCTCCATGACCCAGCTAAACCAGTACCATCTGGTGACTCTTACATGTTACCAAGTTCAGCTGCCAGTAAAGGGACAACCTCGGTCACCTCTGGAACACAGCTTCTGTGCACTGATTACGGGAACACTTCTCAGAAGACTTCACCTCAATGATGCTGGTCTCTTCTTAATCACCACTAATTTCTTAGCTCCGGCTGACCAGCATCAATTGCCCCAGTAAAGCAAAGGCTTTATTTACTTCAGTGGTTCTGGTCTCTTGTTAGTCACGGCTGTTTCTTCTGTCCTAGTAACCAGAGTTGCAGATGGTCAACTCAAAATAGCAAACAGCCCTGATGGAGTCTTAAGAGCCTCTCAAACTTCCCTTTGGAACTCCACAAGCCAGGGTTCCATTGTCTTCACTGCTCCCAGCATCCTTATCTTCCAGGCTCCAATAGAAAAGGTCACCAAGCTTTGAACACTCAATGGCGTTAGCCGGAAGTTCCAAAGTCCTCCCACAATCCTCCCAAAACAACAAGGTCAGGTCTGTCACAGCAACCCTCCCCCCCACACACACACCTCTGATCCTGGTAACAATTTATCTTAGTTAGGGTTACTATTGCTTTGATGAAACACCATGACCAAAAGAAACTTGGGAAGGAAAGGGTTTATTTCACTTACACTTCATCATCAAAAACAGTGAAGACAGGAACTCAAGCAGGACAGGACCCTGGAGGTCAGAACTGATGCAGAGGCCGTGGAAGAGTGCTTCCTTTGGCTTGTTTAGCTTGTTTTCTTATAGACCCCAAACCACCATCCCAGGGGTGGCCCCACCCACCATGGACTGAGAGCCCTCCCACATCAATCACAAATTAAGAAAATGACCTCCAGGCTTGCCTAAAGCCCCATATTTGTTGTGGAATGTTCCTTTACACTGTGTGAAGATGTATCACTGTGATTGGCTATGCAGGAGGGATAGCAGGGACTTCTAGACAAAGAGAGTTCTGGGGAAAAGAACTGTGGAGTCACAAGCCAGATGCCAGCCAGATGCAGAAGAAACAGGATGGACAAAATGGAGATGAGGTTACAAGTTCATGGAAGAACAGATTAAAAAGTATGGGTGAGCCTGGCAGTGGTAATACACATCTTTACTCCCAGCACTTGGGAGACAGAGGCAGGTGGATCTCTATGAGTTTGAGGCCAGCCTGGTCTACAGAGTGAGTTCCAGGACAGGCTTCAAAAGCTACAGAGAAATCCTGTCTTGAAAACAAAACAACAAACAAACAAACAAAAAATCCCCCACAAATCAAGCATAAACTAAGACTGAGCTTTCAAGTTAATAAGTTTCTGTGTCATTTTTTTGTGAGCTGGCGACCCAAAGAAAAATCTGTCTATATATCTTAATGAAGGCATTTTCTCGACTGAGACTCCCTCTTCTCTGATGACTCTTGCTTGTGTCCAAGTGACATAAAACCAGCCAGCACAGGTCCTCTGAAAGTACAGGAAGAGCTCTCAACCATTGCACCATCTCCCAGTCCCCAAATTCACTTTCTTAACTCATTTTCTCATGATTTTCCATATATATTTTGCTGCCCTTTCTAAGATGAAACTCATATCTCTTCCTTTAAACTGTGTTTATGTCGTTCCTGCCTGCTTCTACACTTTTCCCCTTTTTTCAGGGCAATATTTTCTGTGTTGGACCTAATGAAAGTAGACATGGCCAACTTTGCCATCACCAGCATTAGGCCACACCTCATGCAGCAGTCAGTGGAATATGAGAGGAAGAAGTTTCAAGAGGTGTTGGAGAAGCAGCCGAGTAAGTTTAGTGCCCTGTGGCACCTTTTCATCGTTGGTGTATGTGTTGCATTTTAGCTGCTGTAGCTTCTTAGTACATAAAAACAACCGAGCCAGGTGGTGGCGCATGCCTTTAATCCCAGCGTTTGGGAGGCAGAGGCGGGAGGATCTCTTTGAGTTCCAGGCCAGCCTGATCTACAGAGTGAGTTCCAGGACAGCCGGGGCTACACAGAGAAAACAAACAAACAAACAAAAGCCAACCATTGTTTCTAATCCAAGACTAGAATGAAGAAGGAAAAGCATGGGATGCTGTTAAGCACCAAAAACAAAATAATAATAGTAAACTCAACTGACAAACAAGAGCTGTGTGGATAGCACATGAGAGTAAAAGTGAAAAGAACGAAGATTACTAGATTAAATACTTTCCCCCAAGGAAAATACCAGCTTCAGTTAAATTATATTTCGGGTCTTAAAACCATGACAGATCTCTTTTAATTAACTTTTCTCAGGCTTGTGGAAGCAGCAGGGAGCTTCACCTCTTTCTATGTGTGAATCAGTTTTCACAACCAGGAAATGTCAGCTTTTACCCCTTGTTGTTGTTTGTTTGGCTTTTTGTTTGTTTGTTTGTTTTTGAGACAGGTTCTCAAACTATATGTCGCCCTGGCTAGCCTGCAACACTGTCTTTCTAGTATTGCACCAGCTTACCCGGCTTTATTTTTGTTTTTGACTGGGTCTTGCTCTGAAGCCCAGCCTGGTGGTCTGTGTGAAATTCAGGCTGGCCTTAAACTATGGCTGTCTTCCTACCTTTGCTGGGACGGGAAGAAAATGGCATTTTTACAAGCCTTAGGTGACCGCAGGGAAGCAAGGGACTGAAGAGTCTAGACTGGTTGTGTTTTTAGGGTGCTTTCGCGTGCGGTGTGTGATGAATTTCATGTATCACACTTTGCTGATGAGGAGGTGAAAATGGCCTTCCCTGAATAGCTCTTGTTGCCCGACCAGGTTGTTTAATTCAGTGGCCCCAAAAGTTAATCCTGCAGCCTCACTTGGGTGCCTGGGGTCAGGAGAAAGAGAGGAGAGTAGTAATAGAAGAAGATTGGCTGACATACTGTTCAGCCATGGATCGTGAAGCTCAGGCGCAAAGGAAGACTCGTTGCTGATAGAAAGCAGCCAGAATCACCTAGAGAACTGTGCAGGGGTGCGCCGTGCACCTGGGAAGAGCTGACAGCAGCTCTAACCCAACAGTTAGCTAGCTGCCTGTGTGGTTGGAAGGAGACCTCCCACAGGACTGCAACACTGGGGCTGCAACCTGCCCAAGAGTCACTTTTGACTGACAGTGTGGGGGACCTGCTGTGTTACTCGGCTTAGGAAGCAGTGGGAGCGTAATGGCCGTTGACTGCGACCAAGGCCCCACTGACAGTGCTGCCCATGCAGAGAGTTGCACACCAGACACCACAAGGCTGTGTGTGTAATCCTGACTGGTTTGTAAACCCCCAGTGTTCACTACACAGCTGGTGTCCTATGCTGTTTGTCGTAGGCCAGAAGTTTTACCATCCCTCAGAGCTGTAGTCATCGGGGCTTTCAGCCACATGGAAGACAGTGCTCAGAACTAGAGAGGTGAATAAGGAGGAAGGGGCAAGGGACCTCTGTCAGCCTGTGAAGCGGGTGTCATGCATTTCTTTTTTGTTACTGTTTTTCTTTTAAGATTTACTTATTGTGTATACAGTGTTCTGTCTACATGACAGAAGAAGGCACCAGATCTCATTATGGATGGTTGGGAGCCACCATGTGGTTGCTGGGAATTGAACTCAGGACCTCTGGAAGGACAGTAGTCAGTGTTCTTAACCGCTAAGCCATCTCCAGCCTTTATCTTTGTTTGTCAAGACAGGGTTTCTCTGTGTAACAGCACTGGCTGTCCTGGAACTTGCTTTGTAGACCAGGCTGGCCTCAGACTCACAGAGATCCACCCTGCCTCTGGCTCCCAAATACTAGGATTAAAGGCATAAGACACCACCTTCTGTTCAGATAGACTTGCCTGAGGTCACAAAGCTAGCAATGAGCAATAATGTGATCTGAATTGGGTTTTGTGGATTCCAAAGTTCATTCTCTATCCTGAATTTCACTGTAGGAATGCTCGCTCTTCCTTAAGATATTCTGAGACGTGTCCCTGCAAGTGTCATGGTGATGATTGTTGCCCTGTTTCCACAGACTCCCTGGACTTTGTCACCCAGTGGCTAGAGGAGGCCTCAAATGACCTTTTAACTCAGAAGTACAAACATGCCCTGCCAGCTGGGGGAGGGGCTGCTGGCTCTGGGGATGCTCCAGCGCTGACCCCTGTTTCTGTCCAGAATTATGCCTACCTGAGGCTTCTCAAGTGGGACCACTTGCGGAGACCCTTCCCCGAGGTAGGTGCTGATGGCATTTAACCATTTGGACTTTGTCTCATGATGCGTTTCACAAAGAATCGTGGTATTCTGATATAAATGAGACCAAAGTGCCTTCTTTTCATTTGAAACTATAATTACTACTTTATGAATGCTTCAGTGTACAGAATAATGGGCTTCATTGAGACATTCTCATATATATTACTGTGCTTTGCTCACATCCATCCCTACCACCATCCCTTCTCTTCCTCTCTTTCCTGCTTGTCTCCTTTCTCTCTCCAAGTAATCCCCCTTCTGTGTGTATGTGTGTACATGCTACATATAGAAAACACACAGTATTGTCTTCTTCCCTTCCCCTTCATTATTCTCTCTTGTTCCCCTCCCCACCCTACCCCTCTCTCTTGGAGGCAGGGTCTCTGTCTGAGTACCCTTAGCTGCCCTGAAACTAGCTCTGTAAACCAGGCTGGCCTCAAACTCTTAGATTCCGCCTGTCTCTGCCTCCTAGTGCTGAGATCAAAGATGTGAGTACCATGCCCAGCTTTTTCTTTCCTTTTAAGTTCTTTCTTCCCTCAACAGTATCCCTTTGGCTTTTATGTCATTCATACTCTCTCTCTCTCTCTCTTTCTCACACACACCTCAATGTAGATTGTGCCTATGAGAGAAAAGTGTGTTTGTTTCTGAGTCTCTCTCTCTTGAGACACACCGGGGCTGAGGAGGGTGGAGGATGGGGGGTGGGGTGTCTTACTGTGTGTAGCACTGGATGGCCCAGAGTTCACCACATAGTCCAGGCTGGCTTTGGACTCACAAAGATCTTCCTGCTGATGCTTCCTGGATGCTGGGATTACAGGTTTCAACTACATGCCAGGCTAATTTTATTCTTCTTTGTGGCTGAAAGAAATGTCCCTGTGTATGTGGACCACGTTTTCTTTATCCCCTCCTCTGTTGATGGTCATCTAGGCCGGTTCCATATTTTGGTTATTATGAGTGATGCTACAAGGATCATGGACATAATTCTTCCTTAGCTTATACCATGTTACTGCAAGTCTATGTATTTGATCACTCTGAGACGTTATTTTTTATCTTATTTGTTTTGGCTTTTTCTGACAGGGATTCACGTAGCCCACACTGGCCTTGAACTCCCAATCTCGGCCTTCCAAGTGCTTTAATAGCAGACCCAGCCTGTCCAGTTGCTTTATATGGAATCATGACACAGTTATGTTTTTGTGCCTGGCTTGCCTTCATGTTGCCTTTAGGGCTCATCAATGAGGGCGTGTCAGGACCCAGCTGTGTGTGTGTGGTGTGCACACTGCATCTCCTTTCATTCTCGGCCCGTGCTGTGACTGTTTCCACTTTGACTGTCGTGCATTCTGCCTCTGAATATCTGTGCTGTGTCCTGTGTCCTGTGTGGGTATTTTGCTTCAGCCCTCTAGGCTGTATGCAGGGTTGCAATTGCAGGTATACCACTTTGAGAAACTGCTCAGCTGCCCTCCCAGCACCCTGCCAGTAGTATGCAGCGTTGCCTGTCTGTGCTGCTGGACTTTTTATGCTGTTTTTATTCATCTTGATAAAACAAACAAAAACTGGTATTGCTACACAGCTTGACCTACAAAAACTTCTGTCCCATCCACAGAGAGCAGTGTTTTGTTTTTCCTGTGTTTTTTGTAAGGACTTCTAGCTGCAGGAGTCATTCGAGGGGATAACTGGTGCGGGATTCCCCATTTTCTGGCAGTAACTAATCTGGTATGTGGTTTTCTCAGTCTTTGAGGGTGCTCGTTCCCATTTCTAGCTTTAGCTCCTGCAGCTTCTGTAACTGCCCCTCTCATGCTCCTTATTTTTCCTTTCAAAATATAAGCCTTGATTCTTGTCTGAGTGCCCTGCTGGTATATAGAGGGACCTAAGGGTGGTGTTGTTGACTTTTTGGGAGTGGCACGAAGGCTTTGGGTAGTTTTCACTGGGATGGCACATGTATTCTTGGCATTCAGCTGTGGAGATCTTTCCCATCCTGCCAAAGCCAAGTGACATCACGGTCATGTTAGCAGCGAGATGGAAAGAAGGCACTGGAAAATAGCACAGCTCTTCATGAATGAGGACTAGTAGTCTTTAGAGATAGTTTTATCTCATAGAAAGTTTGGGCTCTGACTCCATTGTTTTGTTTTATTTTTAACATTACAGCTTGGGCTAACTCTTGTTAATCCTCCTGCCTCAGTCTTTCCAGTGCTAGCATTACAAGCATAGTCCACCCCATCTAGTTTGACCCTAAATTGCTAGCGTCTTGATTAGATTCTTACAGCAAAGCGGGTTCCTAAAGCTTGTTTGATTAACCTGTAAGAACTCAGATCTGAGCCAGGCATGGGTGGTGCACACTTTTAATCCCAGAGCTCTGGAGAGAGAGGTAGGTGGATCTCTGAGTCCAGGGCCAGCCTGGTCTACATAACAAGCTCCTAGACAGCTAGAGCTATGTGGTAAGACCCTGTCTCCAAACCTCCCAGTCCCCCAAAAGAAAAGAAAACCATTAAAACCCTCTTAACTGAATCAACATCTACTTAACTGCCCTGCCGCTCTTCCCTCACCCCTCTGCAGCCTCCTGTAGGTAGGACCTGGCTTCTTTAACAGCTGTGTATTCTGGCAGGGAAAGACTAGGTTCTTTAACAAGAGAGACAGTCCACCTTCAGATGGCTTTGTTCTGCAGAGTTTGTCATTTTTTGTTGTTTTTTAATCTCCTTACCTGAGGTTGTTGTTATTGTTTGTTATTCTGAGACAGGGTTTCACTTTGAATCCCAGGCTGGCCTTAGACATATAGCAATTCTCCGGACTCAACCCTCTGAGCGAGTTTGTGGGTGGGTGGAGGCGTGGAGTTTATGGGCTGAGCCTTGTGCCCAGCTTGCCCAGTCCTTCAGTCTCCTTTGTGCAGTGTGTACTAAGATGAATAATTGTAAGCTCTGTTTCAAGGAGCCCCTCCCATCTATCAGCACGGGTGACTCAGCACGGTGACTTCCTGGTTTGTGGGGGCAAAGATGCGGTCACAGGACCTGGGTGCTTCTCTTTCAAATTTGGGAACGTCAGTCCTGGACACATGGGAAAGCATTGGCCACTCTAGCTACATCTTTTTACCTTTCCAGTCCTACCTCTGTACCTTATCAGCTACTCTGCTGCCGGTCGGCTTTCTTAATCTTTCCAGCAGCTGTACAAAGAGAACCCGCTTTTCTGCATAGCCTCAGAGAGTAAAGGAGACTTGCCTGAAGTCACGCTGCTGTGAAGGAGTCAAGTCTGGATTTATCCCCAGGCCTGCCTTGGCTGATGATGCTCTCTGCCCGCTCTCAAAGGTTCCCGGAAATCTGAAAGGGCGCCACTGCCCTCTGCTGGCCAGTTTGAGTCTCTGCTTGTCAATGACGTGTGTGTTCATTGCAGACGGTTTTGATGGACCAGTCTCGTTTCCAAGAGCTCCAGCTGCAGCTGGAGCAGCTAGCCATCCTGGGGGCTGTGCTGCTTGTCACTCTCGGCAGTGCCACACCTGGAATATCTGGCCAAGCTGACTTTGCTGAGAAACTCAAGATGACAGTGAAGATCCTGCTAATGGACATGCATCTACCGTAAGTGTCTGGGGCCCGATAGTGGATGCAATTGTAGTGTGTACCAGTGTAAGACCATTAGGAGCTTAGAAAAGACTTTACCTGCAGTTTAGTCATGGAGGTCATGTCCAAGTTACAGGGAACTGTACACTTAACAAGGCTCTAGGATTGTGGTTTTTAAATGTCTGCTCAAGGCCCACAATGAGCAATTTGGTTTCTACCATGCCTAGTACAGTCTAACACACTTGGGACTGTAGTAGACACCTACGGTGTTTGTTTAACATTTTTTTTTCTAATCTAGTCTTACCAACCAACCAATAAAACACCGTCCTGCCTTCTATCCACTGAACTGCTTTTACTACCAACTAGCGGTAAAAACCACAACCTTAAAGAAAACAGTGAACTTATGCCTTGGCCCCCAGGATGGCCAGTTTTTCCATCTGTGGCTCTTGGGAGAGAAAGATTACAGAAGAAATAAACCTTACCCCTTCATGGCCCTCCTATGACATTACCTCTCTACCCTTTGCATATACCTCGTAGACATCTGTGCCTGCCATGAATGTGTCATTTTATCATATATCAGACTTCACATTGTGAAACCTCTAGGTGCTTCCTCAACACAGCCAGTGCATGACTCCCATGATTCACAGCACATGGGGTGGGGGTGTCGGGTGTTTGATAGTTCCAGTAAGCCCTATGTCTGACCAGGCCCCAAGCAGAGACTCTCAGAGGGAACCCCAACCCTGACCTTCTCATCTGGCTAAGTCAAGGTTCAGGGTTCTACTGCTGTGAAGAGACACATGACCATGGCAACTCTTAGAAAGGAAAACATTTCATTGGGGCTGGCTTATAGTTCAGAGGTTCAGTTCTTTGTCATCATGGGGGATGGGGATAGGCATGGTAGCATGTAAGCAAACACAGTACTGGAGATGGATCCACAGGCAGCAGGAAGAGAGGGAGCCAGTGAGCCTGGCTTGAGCATCTGAAGCCTCAAAGCCCAATGCCAGTGACAATTCCTTCAACAAGGCTACCCCTACTTCAACAAGATCACATATCCTAATGCTACTCCCTAAGCATTCACATTAGAGTCCATGGAGGCCATTCTTTGTTGTTGTTGGTTGCTTGTCCTGGAACTCGTCTGTAGACCATACTGGCCTCGATCCACCTGCCTCTGCCTCCAAGTGCCGGGATTAAAGGTGTGTGCCGTCACTGCTGGCAATGGAGGCCATTCCTATTCACACCACCATATCATCCTTACATAAGGAAGGAATGCATTGCTGAGTTGGCACAATGTGTGGCTGTGGTCAGTGCCTTTGGGGTAGAGTCACACATTGTGACAAGCGGTTGACTCAGCCAAGGACACTGCTGATCTCAGGCCTATCCTGATGCTAGTGCCCAGGTCCAGCCTTAGGCTGTCACCTCCACTTCCTGCCAGTTCAGACTTCCTTGGGCGCCCTGGCTGCTCGGGCTGTACCGAGCAGCAGCAGCAGCAATGAGTCCTGGGCCTTGCTCCCTTACTTCCCAGAAGCCCTGTAGTACAGAGACTGCTGCTGTGCAGTCACATGAGTGAATGGTCGTTAACAGCTGAGACCGGCTGCGAAGAAAGCATTGTCACAGGGCCTGACCAGCAGGAGGCTGTCCCACAGCTGTTCCCAAGGGATCAAGGGTACCTGTTTTTCCTTGTGGATTGTTTCTTGTAGAAATAGCTAAGTTAGTCATGGTGGTGGACACCTGTGGTCCCAGCACCTGGAAGGTAAAACGGAGGACCAGGACTTCATGGCTAGCCTGGGCTGCCTGAGGTCCTGTCTCTAAACAAAACAAAACAACCCCCCCAAAAAAAACCAAAAAACAAAACAAACAAAAAACAAAACAAAACAACCCCCCCAAAAAAACCAAAAACCAAAACAAACAAAAAACAAAACAAAACAAAACAAACAAACAAAAAACCCAAAAGCAAAGCAGCTGAGTAGAGTTGGGGATATTCCACAGTTGGCAAAGCGCTTACCATGAATGACTTGGTCTCCAGCATGGTAAAACAACCAAAAAAACAAGACAACAAAAACTCAATATACAAAGGAATTCTCAATGAGAAGGGTTTTATCCCCTCTCTTGTCCCATAGCTTCCAAATTTCTGGTTTCTGTGTGCTCCTCTGGAGGCGTTTGAAGAAAAGAGTCAATACCATGCTTACTCTGTCGCATAGGCATGAGGGAGGCTTTGTGCACGCCTAACATGTATGTGCCTAACATGCATGGAGCCCTCATCCCCAGTGCTATAAAACCTGGTGTGGTATCGCACAGCCCTAACCTCAGAACTTGGGAAGTAGGGGCAGGAGCATTACAATATTCAGCTGTATAGTAAGTTCTAGACCAGCCTGAGCTACGTGACATCCTGTCGACAAACAAAAAAACACCTTGGCATGATCAGACAGAGATGCACAGCCAAGGAGGTGAGGGAACGGGGAAGAAAGCCACAAGTCCCCACAAGTCAGTGCCGTCAGTCTTGCCAGGATAGGGCAAGTGATGGGCACTTTGTACTCATGAGGCTTTTGTTCCCTGGCTCCCCTTTCCCTACTCCATTCTAGTTCCTTCCATCTGGAGGATGCTCTGACTTCCATCGGGGAGAAAGTGTGCCTGGAGGTGAGCAGCTGCCTCTCCCTGTGTGGATCCTCCCCCTTCTCCATCAACAAGGAGACTGTGCTCAAGGGCCAGATTCAGGCCCTGGCCAGTCCTGAAGACCCCATTCGCAGGATCGTGGGTACGTTTGGGGGGACAGTCTCTTAGAGGGCATCTTAGTTACTTTCTATTGCAGTGATGAAACAACATGACCAAAAACAACTTGGAGGGGAAGGGGATTTAGTTCATCTTAGAATTGTCAGATCACAGTCCATCACTGAGGGAACTCAGGGACTTGGAGGCAGGAACTGAAGTAAAAGCCATGGAGGAATGCTGCTTATTGGCTTGCTCCCCATGCTTACTCAGCCTGCTTTCTTATATAGCCGAAGACTACATCTCAGGGTGGTGCCGTTCACACTTTGCTGTGGTAACCCACATCAATCATTAATCAAGAAAATGGCCAGGGGTGGTGGTGCACCTTTAATCCTAGCACTTAGGAAGCAGAGGCAAGTGATCTCTGAGTTTGAGACTAGCTTGGTACAGAGTCCCAGGGCAGCCAGGACTGCACAGAGAAACCCTGTCTGAGAGAGAGAGAGAAGCAAATGCCCCACAGACCTGTCTGCAGGCAATCTGATGGAGGCATTTTGTCAATTGAGGTTCCTCTTCTAAGAACACCTTAGCTGTGTTGCCCCCCCCCCAGCTATCAGTCTGGGGTCTATGAGCTTCCCTTTGTTCAGGTCAGCTGTCTCTGTGGGTTTCAGTAGCCTGGTCTTGAACCCTTTTCTCATCATTCCTCCCTCTCTGCAACTGGATTCCAGTTGTCCAGCTGTGGTGTCTGCTTCTGTTTCCATCAGCTATTACGTCCCCATCTAGTTGCTCTATGATGGCATATAAGGTAGTTACCCATCTCATTATCAGGGAAGGGCATGTAAGGTAGCCTCTCCACTGTTGCTCAGATTGTTAGCTGGGGTCATCCTTGTAGGTCTCTGAACATTTCTCTAGTGCCAGTTTTCTCTTTAAACCTATACTGGCTCCCTCTATTATGGTATCTCTTTTCTTGCTCTCCTCTTTTCCTCCCCCGACTCAATCTTCCTGGCCCTCATGTTCTCCTCTCCCCTCCTCTTCTCCCCTTCTCTTTTTCCCTAGCTCCCTCTCCACTCACTGCCCCCACCCCCAAATTCCCAATATGCTCAGGCAATCCTGTCCCTTTCCCCTTCTGTGAGGGACTTTATATGAATCTCTTGAGTTCCTCCTTGTATTCTAGCTTCTCTGGCGGTGTGAATTATAGGCTGGTAATCCTTTGCTCTATGTCTAAAATCCATATATGAGTGAGTACATACCATGTTCCTCTTTTTGTGACTGGGTTACCTCACTCAGGATAGTTTCTTCTAGTTCTATCCATTTAACTGGGAATTTCAAAATTCCATTTTTTTTTCTGCTGAGTAGTGTGTGTGTGTGTGTGCGCACACACACATGTGCCAGTGCTGCAGACTGTGTGTGTGCATAGATGTGTTCTTCCCAGCTAAAATGCAAAGTTCTGAAGATCCAATCTAGGGGTGACAAGGAAAGACCTCCCGTAGAAAGTGATGACTCAGTTAACTGAAACCTAATCAGATGTGTATAATGTCACCCTGAAGGAAACACCCCTGATCATTTTTCTTTCCACCACAGAATCCCGAATTTTTACCTTCTTGGAGACATACCTTGCATCTGGTCATCAGAAGCTATTGCCTACAGTGCCAGGGGGATTGGGTCCCATTCAGAAAGAGCTGGAAGAAGTTGCAGTGAAATTTGTGCGCCTGGTCAACTATAACAAGATGGTGTTCTGTCCTTACTACGATGCAATCCTCAGTAAGCTCCTCCTTCGTTCCTGAGGCACACAGCTAGCATAGTGCTCCTCATCTCCTCAGAACCCGCTCTCGCAGTGCCGTTGCTGTGGAGAATGGCATGTGGTCGCTCCTATTTAATAGCGCTGGTTCCAAAGGAGGAGTAGCCTGTGTCGCTATTGAAAGACTCGCTGAAGGATGCACCAGTTCTGTTTTGAGGACTGTATTTACGAGTACGCGTTTACAGGCTCAAGAAGCATTTGTCCTCTTGAGTTTATAGGTAGCACTCAGCTTTGATCAGTTGGCTGCCACTGTCTCTGATCCTGCTGCATCAGGATGGAGGAGCTGGTTCTCCCGAGGAGCCTGGGACCTTTCTCTCATGTGGTCATTCTTTCTCAGATACTCCGTGCTGATAGTCATAAGCCGTGACTCTTGCCCCCTTTACAGCATCCTTCCACTTCCCTTCCCTGTCAGAGTGTTTGTGTTTTCAAGACAAAGTTTCTCCATGTAGCCCTGGCTGTCCTGGAACTCGCTCTGTACACCAGGCTGGCCTCAAACTCACAGAGATCCTCCCGCCTCTGCCTCCCGTGTGCTGGCATTAAAGACGTGGGCCGCTAATGCCTGGCCCCTGTTGGTGTTTTATGAGTGGGCTCTCTGTACCTTACAGTGTCCTAGCCCACTCCGTCCCCTCCTCCATCCATTATTGCTTCTTGGGTTTGGCCTAGCTAGTATTCAGAGCCCTTTTGTTCTACAGCAGAGTTACATGATAATTTATTTTGTCTTTTTTTTTTTTTTTTTTTTTTTTTTTTTTTTTGGAGACAGGTTTTTTTTTATATTGCTTTGGAACCTGTCTTGGAACTATAGACCAGGCTGGCCTTGAAGTCTCAGAGATCTGCCTGCCTCTGCCTCTGAGTTCTGGGTTTAAAGGCATGCACCACCAACACCCTGTTTATTTTGTCTTATTTTTTATTAGTAGTAGTATTTTTGAAACAACATCTCTATGTATAAACCTCTGGCTGGCTTGGACTTGCTGTGTAGAACAAGCTGACTCTAGACTCGCATCAATACTCTCCCCTCTGCTTCACACATGCTAGGATTACAGGCCTCTGTCACCATATCCATTGTATATAACTTGATTTTTAAAACCTTGTTTAATTGGCTTGGTATGTAGTACAGTGGCTAGTGATTGCCTAGCATGTACAAGGCCCTGGGGTTGATACACACACACACACACACACACACACACACACACACACACACACACACACCAGGCATTGAGAAGCCATAAGCCTCAGCTGCTTGAAAGGTAGGAAGATTGTACCCAGGAACTCAGGAGCAGCCTGGGTAATAGAGACTCTACCTTAAAAGAACAAGGACAGAAATACTGTTCTTTCTACAGAAGTGCTCCTGAGCCAGGATGGCAGCAGCTGAGGTTTATGGAGGTAGGCATGCACCTTTAATCTTAGCTCTAGGGAGGCTGAGGCAATGGAATTGCAAGCTAAAGGTTTGGACTACATAGTGAGGGTCTTATTCAAAATCAAGACAACATGCCGGGTGGTGGTGGTGGTGGTGGTGGTGGTGGTGGAGCACACCTTTAATCCCAGCACTCAGGAGGCAGAGGCAGGGGGATCTCTGAGTTCAAGCTATCCTGTTCGACAGAGTGAGTTCCAGGCCAGCCAGGCCAGGGCTACACAGAAAAACCCTGTCTCAAAAAACAAATAAACAGAAAAGGACAATACTGGTGTATGAGATCTAAAGAAATGAAGCCTTTAATCCTAAATAGACATGTGTAGTTTAGTATAACCCACTGTGATGAATACAGAGATATGCTGATGGAATTCTAATTTAGAAATTAGGTTTAAGTGTTTCAGGTAAAATAGTCCAACCTCACTAATTTAGATAAGGAAGAAAAGTCCCCAGTATTTGAGCAAAATTCCTGACACACCATGTGACCACAAGAGAGCTTTGGATGTGATACAGATGATATGTTTTTTTTTGTTTTGTTTTGTTTTTTAATTAACCCAGACAGTGATGGCACATACATTTAATCCTAGCACTTGGGAGACATTGGTAGACAGACCTCTGAGTTCAGGGCCAGCCTGATCTGCACAGGGAGTTCTAGGACAGTCAGGGAATTTGCAAAGAAACTCAGTCTCAGAAAAAGAAAATGTTTATCACTGTGTATATTTTAGACAGGAACATTATAGTAGAAGCAGAGCCATGAAGTTAGAATGATCTCCAGCCAGATTTCCTGGACACCAGAGACAAAAGAAACATTCATTCTCAAAACTATCCAAAGACGACAGGATGCCAGAGAGTGCATAGTGAGCCTAGCCTCGGGGAGTACACCTAAAATCCCAACTCTTCAGAGGCTGAGGTAGAAGGCTTGCTTGGGTTACCACCTGAAAAAGAAAAAGGAAGAATGGCTTTATTGAGTGAGGATGGTTTCTTCAAATATGCACTATAAACTACTCTAATGCTTATTTTTGTTTCCAAGTAAAATAATGTACTGGGTGTGGTGATGTGCCTTTTAATCCTAGCACTCCAGAGAGGAGAAGGTAGCTAGATCTCCCTGAGTTAGAGGCCAGCCTGATCTACATAGTGACTTCCCAGGCTATCAAGGGATGCATAGTGAGACTCTGTCTCAAAAATAAATAAAAGTATGCTATATCATGTGCTCTGATTGTTGTATTATTTCTGACACAGGGTCTCTGTGAAGCCCTGGCTGTCCTAGGACTCCCTCTGCCCTCCAGACTAGCCTTGAACTCAGAAATTTCCCTCCCTCTGCCTTAAGGCATGTGCCACTACACCTACCACATCAAAGTTTAACCAAACTGTCTGAAAACACCAGAACCTTGTAGGTGGGTGGAGGCAGGAGGATTAGGAATTCAAGGCCATCCTTGGCTGTTAACACATCTGAAGCCAGTTTGGGCTAAATGAAACAAGCAGAATTATTAAGGATTAGGTTTCAGGACAGACTGTCTGGAAAAGTAATTATATATAGCCCTGGAGGTGTAGAAAGCTTGACTAGCAGGTGAAAGATTGCAGATTTGAGCCTTGGTACCCAAACCCAAATCATTTAGTAATAACAGAGACTGTGACAGGCGTGTGGAAGGAACTTGGACGCTATTGAAAAAGGCTCTGGCAACTGTTCATGTGTGGCTGGGGCCAAAGGCCCATTTCAGTGTGAGTAGTTGAGTTGAGCCTTCTGCTCAAAGGTGTGTGGAGTTGTGTTTGTAGAAGAGTTAAATACACATTAGGTTTGCTGTGGGGGAAGGCACTGTGGTGGTAATCAGCAGAGGGTGTCTGGCTAGCACTGCTAGAACATACCCTGCTTTGGGTGATTTTGAGGTTGCTAACAGTCCTAGGTTTATTTTGTTTTTGTTTGTTTGTTTTGTTTAATTATTTTTGTGTCCTGGTGTTTTGCCTGCATCTAAGTCTGTGCACCACATGTGTGCCCGGAATACCAGAAGAGAGCATTAGATCCCCTGGAACTGGAGTTAAGTTGTTAGCTGCTTTGTGGGTGCTGGGAATCAAACCCAGGTCCACTGGAAAAGCAGCCAATACTCAGTAACCACTGAGCCATCGCTCTAGCTCAGTTCCAGGATTGATACAAGGGACTTGGATCTGCTTGTTGGAACTCACGCAGAAATTATAAGATTATTATTGAAGGGACTTTACTCTATAATGATATGGCAAGATGGAAAACAAAAAGCTGGGTTGAATGTAATTAACTGAGTAGCTGATACTAGAAGAGAAAGAGGTCAAATGTAACCTTTTGTCTCCTTCCCTAGACCCCAGGGTCACTATAAACAGGACAGGCTGGCTACATTCTAGGTGAGAGTACTTTAAAAGAACAAAAACTCATCTCTTACAATGAGTTTCATTGTAAGAGCCTCATTCAATGAGGCTACTTCTGGAAGGTTCCTTAAGGGAAAAGCTCACAGGTGTCTGTGCTTATTGAGGCCTGTTTGCAAATTTTATTCTCCTCCAAGGCTGAGGAGCGGAGCCTTCACCGAGGTGCAGAAGATGCAGCAATCCCTTCCCATAGCGTTCTTTTCAATCACCAGAACACTAAAAGTTAACATTTCCCCCTCCTGGTTTTAAGAACTCTGTGATAATTGGATTTCACTTCAGTTCCTAACAGGCTTGTGGAGATGTGTGTTTTTGTGAAACTGTTTTTTAGTTGGTGCTTCAACCACACATAGGCAGAACCAGACAGAGCCAGCATCGCCTAGCCGTTTAGAGCCGATGGTCCTGAATAGCAAGAGTAGTAATTGAGCCTCCTTGGCTTTGACTTGGAGGGGAAAGGTGAGTGGGTTCTCAAGTCAGGTGTTTTGTGTTTGTTGTTGCTGAACCTGAAGCAGCAGATGGGATTCTCTAGCTACACAGCCCAATCTAAACACATTTCAGGTAACGAACCGTACTGAAACACATGCTACTGTTTGCTGTGTAAGTGAGCCAGGTGTATTGGAGCACACTTTTAATCCCAGCAATGGAGAGGTGGAGGCAGGGGGATCTTTGCTTGAGTTCAAGTCCAGACTGATCTACAAAGAGAGTTCCTGTCCAGGCAGGGCTACATAGTGAGGGGGAAAAAATATCAGGGATCTGTTCTCTGTGATATACTAGCTATGTCAAATCCCCTATTTTCACCTTGAGAATGAGGCACCAACCATGGTCATTTGCTCCCTTAGACTATGACCATCTGTGGCAGGATGGTGGACCGTGCTTCTGATTCAGAAGATCTAGGTTTGGGTCTTTTTTCACTTGATTATCTTTTCCCTTAGGCCTCCATATTTCCATCTGTGAAACGGGAATGCTACTGATAGGATAATCTTGAAGCTTAATAACCTCTAAGCAGTATTTTTTTTTTAATCTATTCAATTAACTTCTTAGGGCTAGAGTTGGCTCAGCAGTTAAGACCACTTGTTCTTTACAAAAGACCCAGGTTTGGTTCCCAGCACCCACATCGAAGCTCACACCATTTATAACTCCTATTCCAGGAGACCTGACAGCCTCTTTCTGACCTCTGTGGGTACCAGGCATGCATATACACACATGCAGGCGAAGTGTGTTCATGGGATAAATACATCTAAAATTT